ATTTTTACCTTTAATGATAATTCCCATATTAGGCTAATATAGTTACAGTTCTTTATCTAGTACTTTTAAGAGTTGCAGCACATTTACAGCTGTGTAGTTTGCAAATGGGATTTTAGGAAAACCAGGGGTGTATTACTGTAGGATTGTTGGCTAGTGTATTTCCAAACCCCCTAAAGCCTCTTCTTTCATCTCAGCTCATACCCAAATATAATTTACCACTCCATCATAGTCTCTTTCAAAGGTCTAGATACTGTCAACATTAATAACTGCAAGTGTCTGTAGCATTTTGCTAATGTGATTTTCCAGCTTGGTCAATAACCACATTCTACAGAGTAATACATTTACCCAATGTGTAAACCTTGTAACGGTTTTTGTCAATGGCTCATTTTCAGCCTCCGCAGTTATACCTACAAGGATTGTTTTTGACAACATGCTTAATGTCACCTTGGTACAGTAGAAGCTTGCAAAACTGCTGTGTTATATGAATACTGGAGGCCAGTGATTATGTGTCACTTTGTTTTTACAAGACAGATCAAATCATTAAATGTTAAAGCTCATGCTTGTTGTTTTACCTCCTACAAAGTAACAGTAAATGAATGCTTCATTTTCCCCCAAATCAAACATATATTTTCAGAAAACAATTTTCTAATATTAATTTCCAGTGCCATTAAAAGGGCTGCAATCTAAGCTGACCATGCATCTCAAACAGAGGTTCTACTCTAGCTTTGTCCACATTATCTAACATTAATTTGGTTTAGAGGTTTCCTCAAACATGCATACAGAGTGGAAGCTGTTAGGCTCAATTTTCAACCTAACACAGTATTGATTAAACAATAACTTGCCAAAAACAACAATGTGCACACTTTATAAAACTAGGATAGTACACCAGAGCCTTCTGAAACCAAACAGTAAACATTAGTCATGTGATACTCATGACATCTATTTTATTTTTTTATACTGAAGAGGTGGTGAAGCTAAATTAACATCTCCCGAAGCTGTAGTGTCATCATATTTAATATTGTGAATAGCAAATAGGGATATTATGCATCAGTGTTCATTTTAGCAGGATGCAGAAAATCTTTGTGGGCATACATCATTGACTGTTTTGTATTCCCCCCCTGCCAACATTTTAATATGTTTTGAAACTACACTGTTGCAGATGCTGATATTATATATACATGGCAGCAAATATATTGATTGTTATGAGTCTGAAGACCAGAAAGTGAAAGGATCCCAATAAATCAGTGAGACATTTGCGGTCTAAAAGGTGACTTTTCCTGGTTTTTAATGTCTTTATCATGCCACAAAACAACCACTCTAGATGATACAATTTGTTGCATGTAATGACTAGTTTCCATGATACCCTCACAATTTTTGCACATGAAAAAAAAGCTATTTATGATGGGAAGGACTACTCAACAGTAAATCCAAAAATTCAGCAGTCATAGGAGAGAATCATTTCAGTTAGCTGTGCCTTTTCACATTAGCTCTTACCACTTCCCCAACCCTCCCTCACCATACAACAACTCCCTGATGCACTCCAAATGACAGAGGGAAGGAAATTATCGAACACCAATACAATAAAGCTGTCTGGTAACTTAATAGGGCTGCTGAGTAGGGGCACTGTGGCCATCTTGCTTTGAGGCGATAATGAGAGTCATCATTCCCTCTTGGGCTGGTGGAAAAGGCCTCCTCTGAGGTGATAGCATGTAAGAGTGCATACGTTTGTGTTTGTGCGCATGCGTGTGTTTGTCTTTGAGCTCTTTTAGTCCAGCGAGGCCCAATAAGCAAACAGCACAGTGCTTTAACGAAGCCAGAGAGATCTGCAATTGAATACAGCTTGGGAGAGATCTCTAAGAACTTCTGTTCATTAAATGAGACTGAAGTTCAAAGTTCAAATATTGACTTTGTGAGCTTTAGGGAAAAACAGCACATAGACTGTCTCATATATCATATTACAGATCCATCAGCTTATATGTTTGGGGAGTACGTCTCAGGTTGATAAAAGAAATCTGTCTCATAGTACAAATGAAAGTAACATTTGTTAATAGAACTTAATGTGAATTCTGATCTCATAAGAAAAGCTGCAATAATGTATACAAGTGTACTGTGCTACCACTGAACTAGTACTCATGAAAATCATTCATCAGACTTTAAATGCAGGGCTATGTTGCTGTTTATTTAAATTACCAGTGGGGTTTCTACTTGATGAAGCCATACAAATCCAGGAACATTGTCGGCAAGCAGATTTGTGGACATTAAAGAAAATCCAGAGGGATACCATCTGAGATATTTACTTGTTGAGCTACTGCGTTTGTATCTCCTTGATAAGAATTCTGATGTGTTATATAAGAGCGGAGAAAGAAACAGAGGGGGAAAAGCTGACAGGAAAAAGGAGTTTTAGCAAATCAGTTTCTCAACTTGCCAGTGTAGATCAGACTGGATTTGGAACATTACAGTATTATTATGCAGTCCTTGCTTTCACTCTATGCCCAGTACACTGTAAGAAGTTTAACATGACCTCAGGAGAATATCTGTGATTGTGCGGTGTGGCAGGAGAAGATGGCAGACAGAAATCAAAAGGCATGTTGCGCTAACGGCCATGGGTTGTGTTAAACAAGGAATAAAGTATTCAAACAATGGCAGTCCATTCATTTGAAAAAAAAGCTGCTAACCTAGCACATGCACATTAACATATATCTCTCACTCTGTATTAACTGCCCACAAAAAATGACACAAAAATAACAAGTTAATGCAACTGACTTTTACAATGATCCATAGGCTGAAGTGTCACACTCAGAAACTTGTTCCATTATTTACCTGCTAGGCTGGCTGAAGCCATTACTATAAAAACAAAGCATAACACGCCACCTGAGAATTTGATCCTAGCCCAAGAGAGTCTGAGTAGGAGGGACCTCACTTCCCTGTGTTTACGTTGTACCTTTACCTCTGTCTTGTTAGTTTTCTTGATGTGCTAATGGTGGACCCAAGGGTGTACCACAGGTGATAAAAGCCTAATGTGGAGAAAATTTGAAGCACATGTAACAAAATCATTACTGTAATAAACCAAATCTATTTAGCATTTAAAACATAATAATAATACAAGGTCCACAGTCTCCTTACAAAATATAAGGCAAAATCAAATCAAATGCACTGATCAATACTTTT